ATCTTTCTAATAAGCACAATGTGAAAGCCTTGTTTCTGGTGCTTGGTTTGTTTGAGTGCTCGCTCGTAAGCCCACATTTCGCCGGCGAACTATAGCGTTTCCTGTACACTAGGCAGCTTACTGCACATTAATTAATTTCTGACGAATGTGAAAGAACTAGACTGTGAGCCTATGCGCCCGAATTTGATGTTGTGATCTGAACGCCAGATAATAGAGAAAACAGTGTGTCAATTAGAAAGGTCACTACTTATTCTGCAGTTCACGAATGATGACTCTGTTTGTTTGTTTTTTATTAGAAGAAAAAACATTGTATTTTCCTGTAGAGCGATTCACTAAGGCTGTGACAATAAAAATATTTTCTTTACTCCATGAATGTTGTGCTTTGCGCTTATTCTACGCGAGTTCGTTTTCCTTAATTTCACATTTTTGTATATGTTGACTTATTAAGGCTTCTCTGAAGTAAATTGTCTATCCGCGAAACTAGAAGATAGCTACTCTATTCCCTCAAAAGTATCCGCTTGACTTCTTTGCCTGAAGGCTCGCTACCACGCAGCGTTGGAACGTCACAGGAAAAATTTACATATTACAGAAGCTGACTGCTATGCTTGAACTGAATGTGAATTTCAATATCTAATCTACTACATAAAATATTTTTGTTAGTACCAAGTAGTATGAGAAGGCATACATATACACATATAAATTACAACAAAATAGCAAGAGGGAGTGAACCTGACAACTGCCATGAACAGGAGCATGGCGCCTGTCGATTGAAATAATGAAAATAACTGAAATATAACTTGAAGGTAGAAGAATAAAAAATAAAGAAATCACTCCATGCGACTGCTATCGACCGTAAACAATCCAATCCAGAAAAAAAAAGAGGCAGTTTACACTAGTCTACAGAAAGCTGGGTAAGAGAAGAGCTGCTGGGCACGTTTAAGCTACCGCTGTTAACCATTCGCATAGCATTGTTGGGCGGTAATTGCAGCACGTGTTAGTTTATGATAACAATTTTCTACCTTCGACTGACGGCCACCTTCCACCTTAGGAGTTGTGCTGTATCATTTCCTATTGTGCGGATGTGCCACAAAAACTAGGCTAATTTCAGTACACGCCGCATTAGTGCACTAAACTTTCACAGGGGAATACATAGATGGCAAAGAAGAATTAAAATTTATCTACAGACGTAAGAGATAATAGAGAGAGACTTGACTAAGTCATCGGGAGCCCGAAGACCACACGCTTCAGCTTCTCTTGTTAATGTTCTGTACTGAATTATTTGGTGTTGATTTGGTACATGTCAGTTAATAATGATAGCAATTTTCGGTCTACGACACATCGCCAACCTGAACCCTAGAAGCTCTGCTGTAAAAAAAAATGTACCACGGACACGAGATCATTGCAGAAGTATACACAGTGCTAAGTCAATGTGTTAAGTTATGCTAATAATCTTTCACTTTATTACTAAGCGATGGAGACGTGTTTGTTTATGTAGGAGAAGATAACTAACATAATTATTCCCAAGCAATGATGACAAGGATTACGTCGGGTTTGCAACAATGGTTTCACTGCAGGTCACGGCGTAATCAGTCGCGGTGTTGTACTCATAGCAGCCTACTTTTGTTCTTCAGATACCGATTGATTGATATGTGGGGTTTAAGTCTCTAAATCACCATATGACTATGAGAGACGCCGTAGTGGCAGGCTCCGGAAATTTTGACCACCTGGGCTTCTTTAACGTGCACCCAAATCTGAGCACACGGGCCTACATTGTTTTAACTTCCATCAAAAATGCATCTGCTGCAGATGAGATTCGATCCCGCGACCTGCGTGTCAGTATTCGAGTACCGCGGTGGGGAATTCATCTGCTATGGATGACTAGGTTTACTGATAATATCACCATCACGAAAAGAGTTCGACAGATCCCAGGTACAATTGGAAATTATGTTACGTGAATATTGCGGAGCTAAGGAGACTGTGGTGTAATTTTATTGAGCGAAACGTTACTAAATTACGCTAAAGATGCGTTCAAAAGTTTTACGCACAGGTATATGTAGTTGCTTACAGTTTCGAAGTGGTAACAATAGCAAACTTACTATTGCCAACAAAAGAATCGGTAAGGCAATATTTGGTGCTTGTGTTTGCGAAGATGGTAAATGGTACTTATCAGCAATTCACGTTTACCCGGCAAGACGCCTGTATCATAGTTGTGTATGTAATGTTTACAAAATCAGATAGCTACCACAGCTGCCTGAGTTCGCGTGTCATTATCATTAAACCATGAATACCGTATTTTTACAAAGGAGTTTCGATACCTGGCGTGGTACTGTGGTAGAATACTTGCTTGCCACGCAGAGTGCTTGGGTTGAATGCACGCCGGGACTCTTATGTTTATTCATTGTATTCATCAGGTCAACGTTGCATATAGTTGTTTACTCTACACACTCTCACATTCGAATTGCCAATGTCTGTTCTCACGTTCCCGGGCCGACATAAAAGGGAGTTTTCGAATAGCGCACACATAACATGCAGGCGCAGCGTGAGCGTTATTCACTCAAAAGGAGCTCACAATAGGTGAGCGTGCAACGCATGCACAACGCCAACGCAAAGCTTTGCATACTTACGTCTTCGAAAACTTCCTGAACTGCCAGTCAACTACGACGAATACCTTCGTATCGGGGCCGGGAATATGGGGAAGACAAGGAGGACAAGAAGAAAAAGGGGCACAATTTAGACCTGCATAAGAACCGGACTAGTATGGTGTATTTAGTTTAGTTAGAGGGTAGCAATTTGTTTTCTTTAGGAAATAAGTACATATGCGCCTATTTATCTGTCATTTATTCGTATTTATCGCCACATGTGTGTGAAGGACGGGGTTTTACGACTTATGTGACGGGATATGGACGTTATCGATCTCATGAGGAGCTGGATATATTTGTCAAATTCTCTTAACCGCCCATACTGATTAGGTCCATTCATTGTTAAGGAGGTGATCACGAGAGCACACAGACGTAGGCGGCTGCATGCACAGACAGACAGACAGACAGACAGACAGACAGACAGACAGACAGACAGACAGACAGACAGACAGACAGACAGACAGACAGACAGACAGACAGACAGACAGACAGACAGACAGACAGACAGACAGACAGACAGACAGACAGACAGACAGACAGACAAGACAGATAGACAGACTAGATAGATAGATAGATAGATAGATAGATAGATAGATAGATAGATAGATAGATAGATAGATAGATAGATAGATAGATAGATAGATAGATAGATAGAAAACCGCTCAAAATACCAACACTTAGCTGAGAAATGACGGAGAAATGCTTCGCATTTAAAACTCCAGAGACAATAAATTTATTTTGTGCATTTTATATAACAACAGAAAAGCTGGCACTTTTGATTTCACAAAATGTATTTTGTCTACAAGAACAAAATTTCGTGAAATCACTACCGTCTGCTCTATGCATGATATGCATGTACGCTAAATGTGTCTGATGCGCGCTAAAACACCTTATATAAGCTTTCTTTCTTTTTTTTTTTTGATAGAGCCAGCAAACCAGTCATTCTCATTAAGGAAAACTTATGGTGTGAATGATAGATAATTAAGCGCATATATACATACTTAATTACAAAATATAGCTTCTCCCTAACTAAACTTAATACACCATGTTATTTCCGGTTACTAGTGCAGGTCGACCGAACATGCTACATCGCGCGCACTTTCTTCCTTGTCTTCCCATAGAGTCCATGATTTTCCCTAGGCACGCAAGACACACACTAAAGGTAATCGCCTGTGCAAGCCAATAGGAACAGTTTGGCCAGTGAGTTAAACCAACTAATTCGCGATACTATTTGAATCTCGTTTTGTCTCGCTTTTATCTCGAAAGCGCATATGGTGGCCATGGCTCATGGGTGAACTGTGGCTGTCAAAAGACCCTGCGGCTTTTTTTAATGAACGTTTTCTCTCTTTCCCATCAATTGAAGAAAGTGCAGGTCAACTTTCTCTATCCTTTTTTTGCATGGTAGTAACCCATGTCTTCTCCATATAACTCTGACAATGACTCTTGCATAATTCAGAAGTGTTTTGTGTATGAATAACGCCTGTCAGGCTCCAGAGCCGTCTTTTAAAGCCAACTGATCTCTGGTATTATGACATGCAAAGTATAGCTTCCCTGTGCAACGCGATCAGTCTCTGCAATCAAATCGTAAATCATTGTTCAACATCTGCATAAGTACTATCCACATCGCTGTGCTTAAAGCCCATGAATCTCTTCATGTAGCAGCATGCGATAAAGGACTGTTACGGTGCAAATGCGTAAAATCTTGAAAGCTTTGACACCGAGTGTCCGTCCTTGTTGACATCAAGGCAATTTTCTCAACATTTCTATTCCTACCGGCTTGTTAAGTCAATAGGGTTATAGGCGGTTTCCGCAGCTAGTTTTCTAAGCAAAACAAGATATCGCCACTGCACTGAAGCATCATGGTCTGCTCCTCGGCGGGGCGGCAGCAATGTGGCGTGTGGCGGACGTTGCTCTGTAGCCTACGGCGAGAAACGGGCGGTGCAGACTATGCGGGTGCGGGTGAGTGTAGCAAAAAAATAGGTTCGTTATATAAGCGACTCAGGTAAGAGAAGACGCTTCTTTCTGTCTCCCGTATTGGGGACATGGCTAAGCGCGACAGTCTTTAGCGGTTTGGTGAGCCCGGTGCGCTGCCAGGCGACGATGTGAGAGTATATGAAACACCGGCGTGCACCGCACTGTCTGCCACGCCAACATGTAATTCTTTACCCACTGCGCCCGCTTTGCTTGCCTTCAACTAGGGAGCGGCGGCGGCGAATCGGCTGGCCGTCGGCAACAGTGGAAAAGAGAAGGCCATTAGATCACATGTTCAAACGTGGCCGCGCCCGTTCGCTGCTGCGGAAAACTGTTTTCACGCAGATGTGTACATCAGTGTCTGCTTTTGTTCTTTTTTAACTTGCGCAGATATCATGGACACCAACCTGACGGAGGATTACAACTACACCAGCCTCATTCCGCTGGCCGAACAGATCCCGATGTTGGTGAATCTTACGAACCGAGGCCCACCGATCGAGTTTGCCTTGCCGCTGCTCGGATACGCCATGCCCGCACTCTTAGTGGTGACCATCATCGCCAACACGTTCGTCGTAGTCGTCCTGGCACAGCGTCACATGCGTACACCCACCAACATTGTCCTGCTGGGAATGGCCGTCTGTGACATGATGACCCTCCTCATTCCATCACCGTGGTTCTTCTACATTTACACACTAGGAAACTACGCCAACGTTCTCGGTCCTTCTTCTACATGCTACGCCTACAACAGCATGAACGAGGTGATTCCGAATGCGTTTCACACGGCCTCTGTCTGGCTGACACTAGTTCTGGCTGGACAGCGCTACTTCTACGTCTGTCATCCTACCACAGCCGTCACTTGGTGCACCGTGCCGCGTGTACTGCGGACAGTGTGCTGGGTTGGCTTTATCGCGTTCGCGCACCAGCTGCCACGCTTTCTCGACACGGTGTTCATAGACGTGCGCTTCAAGTGGCAAGGCGAAGTGCACTACGGCTGCCAGATGCTGGTCGCCGAATGGGTCACCCAGATCTTCACCGCGAAGGCTTACTTCATTGCGTATTACGCCTTCAAGGTAATCTTCGTCAATATCGGGCCCTGCACCGTGCTCGTGGTGCTCAACATTCTGCTGTTCCGCGCCCTCAAGCGCGCTCAAGAGAAGCGTGCCAAGCTGCTCAAGGAGAACCGCAAGAGTGAGTGCAAGAAGCTGCGTGACAGCAATTGCACCACCATGATGCTCATTGTCGTGGTGACAGTGTTTCTGGCGGTGGAGATACCGCTCGCCGTGACCATCGTGCTGCACGTGCTGATAAATGCGTTCAAGGTACAGCTTGTCTCGTACTATGTTCTCAACATCACGCTGCTCTTTACCAACTTCTTCCTCATGCTGAGTTACCCGGTGAACTTTGCCATCTACTGTGGTATGAGCAAGCAGTTTCGGAAGACGTTCAAGGATCTCTTCATTATGGGCACGTTCGTCAACAAGACCCAGGGTTCGTCGCGTTACTCGCTGGTCAACGGACCCCGTACAGTGACGAATGAGACCATACTGTGAGATGAACGTCTGGTAATGTCTGACGTAACCAAAGAATTCCGCGAAAGGGAATACGTTTTCGCGTGTCAGTGTGGAGGAGTGGATCTTGAACGCCGCACGTTTCTTGATGTTGTTTTGGCGAAAAGAAGCTTGGCCACTTCTGCTGCTCCTTTGAGGGCCGCGGTAACAGATGGGTGCTAACGATACAGTGCGCAGTCCAGCTGAATTATCGGTGTTTGAAGGTGTTCCATAACGCTGGCTGCAGATGGATGCGATACAAAAGACGGCTTGAAATAGTTTAGCTTCTCGTTCCGGATCACTACTAAAGGCATTACTACTTGTGACTGAACTCCTGTATTTCATGCCTCTCTTTCTTTAGATTCCGCCTTATGATACCTTCCGCTCCATAACCTTTATAGCCAGCCTTCACTTACAGGCATAAAATTGGCGTACCTTTCCCCCCAAAAGCTGAAAAGTCGTATTGAAAATAACGGAAACAGAGTGTAGGGGACGCAAAGATTTTTTTATTGGGGACCCAAGCACTAGTTCAATAGAGGACGGTGTTCAATGTTTGCGCAACCGAAGACATCACTTCCTCCCAGAAAAAAAGCTAACAAGCGCTAATCAGGAAGCAAAATACTGATGTATGTTAATACTGAAAGGAAAAAAAAGCGTCCTTATCAGTTTTCAAAACTATTCTGCACTTCTTACGCCAAGAGGTATCATACAGTTAAAAAAACTTCTCATCTATTAGAAGAACTGAACATTGGGCGTGTAGGTATTCCATTGCGGGTGGTATTTTATGCAAAAAAAAACGGAAAAAAAGAAAGAGAGCGCAGGTAGGCATAGACTGCGCTCTCTTTCTTCTTGTTCGTTCTTTTTTTTTTGCGCAAAATACTATCCAGAATCATCTCTATTATCGACAAACTGGTTCAGTAAAATTTTGCCGTCACCTGCCCGTGTAGTCATCCAGTGCATATTGCCTATTGTACCAAAAACCTCTTAGCTAGTTATAGCTATTATTTTGTTGCGGGAGAGATAAATCAATATTTTTGAAAGAAAATTTTAGATTCCGAAGCCCAAGCTAGGGGGCGATTTGTTACAAGTGGGCACTATTCACAAGTGAACGCATTTCTTGGTTGTGCTTTACATCATATCTTCAATGCAAATTTCTAAGAAAAACCTCTTTTGAGCTTTACGCTAGATTTGTCGTTGTGCTTATTCTTGTCACCCTGCACGAAACATCAGCTGTATCCTCCGTGATCAGCTGATGAGAAAGAGTATTGATAACTTTCAGCCAAACTGCAGTTTATGAGCTAGCTCAACACACCATTCATTCTTTCCTCAGAGAGCCTTTAGCGCTGACGCCTATTGCTTTCTCTAGGAGCAAATAATCACACAGTTTAGAGATAAACTATTTTCTCGCGTACTGCACTACTCTGGAAAAAAAAACAAAAAAAAACACTATAGTTAAGTCAAGATGATTCACGAGCGAGAAAACGTGCTGGTTTTTCCGCCGTCATCGTGATTTCATACCTTTCGACTACGTTTGCTGAAGCGCTGTTATTTTCATATTGGCAGATTATATAGCGTTTTGTTTCGCTTGCCTTAAACACTTTAGATGAAAGGTTTAAAGTGCTCGTAAACCACACGAAGTTTAAAGGCGCGACAGTATTGCCCTCGCTACCCTTCCTACAAGCACTATCTTATCCTCTTCTCTCATTTCTCCAGAAAAAAAAACGTAGAATGTCTAAAATAGGCGATGAACCACTCAGGATGTCGCGTTTTCTTTTACTACATGCTCATATCTCTGCCTGCGTAGTCGCCAACGCGGAAAACGAAGTAAAATAGGTTTACCGGGCATGATAATCATGCTGACAGGGCAGACAGCACACTCGACTGCATAGCCAAGCAGGGTAGGCGACAATTCAGAAGACGTACCTTTCGTATATCGACCGATGGAGAGCTTGTTTCATCCTGACGTCCTGAGAATGAACAGCTGGCGTCATGAATTGTGCCACAAAAAGTGGGAACGTCGCGACAGAATAACATGCTCGTTTTTCGCACTTTAGAAGGAGTTCGGAGGCCCTTTAAGTAAACCCTATTCAGCCGTTGGACACAAAGTATAAGAAAACGTTCTAAAATTCGTGTCCTCATGCACATTCAAATATAGGTGTGGAAATTTCGCCACAAAATTAAACGTTCGAAAATGAAACTTTGATTATTTCATATTTAGGATATTGTGGCGAAACCAGAAAAATGATGTTATCGACAAACTAAATAAATGTGAGTGATGTATCTTTTCACTTAAGCGTTCCTTTAGATAATGCAGTTATGTTTGCAGTTTGAAAAACATGGTTAAATCGGCGCTTATAAGGACAGTACCAAGGAAGAGTAGATACATCATCGGCATCGTGATGCGTGTACAGCAATTGTGCGGAGAAAATTCAATATTCAAAACTAGGTATTGCGTGCGCTTTCACGTCTAGTAAATATGTCCCCATGTGTACACTGTGTCAGATCTGGGTAATTTGATTGGATCACTTACACAAAAGTGAGCATTACATATAGTGTATGCATAGCAAAATAATGTGGTTATCCGAGCAGTTGCTCATAGTAGTCGTCACTATGTGCTGCTACCATTACTGAATAAAAGAATGATGTTGCACTTGAATACGTGAGTGTACTACAGTGTTCATATTGTTCCTTCATATAAAGGCCGATTTAACTATGCTTCATGAAATCAGTAAATAACTAATCAGTTACAGTATCTTATCTCAACAAGTGTAAAATGGCTCTTCAGGGCATATATCCTCTGCGCGTACGCTCAACTGTACATAAATAACTTGAGCATGGTTTATTATAAGTTGTACCTAGATGTTTTAGATAGAAGGCGTCAACTTCTGTCCTATTTTCTGTCCCAATAAGATAGGTATAATCGCTCAATGCATTCATAACATCAGTTATTTTTTAATAGGCCAATTGATTTCTTTTTTTATTAAGCTCTTATGAGAAACAGAAGCTTATCACTGAAGTCACAGTTATTTCACCTTCGCAAGTTTTCAGGATGCAAGTGCGATATGTTTATCTTTTCTTCTTTGCTACAAGTCAATGTGATCAGTTATTCGTGTTGTTAGGGGGCATATATGCTTTGTGAATTCCGTGAAGTGGACGACAATGCAACACTGTATTTCTGAAATGGTACGCCTTCAGGGAAGTTGAAAATGTTACAAAACTTGATGTCAAACGACCGATTCACATTATAAACATGTTACAATGAACATTTATTTCCCAGGCCTTAACTTCAATGTTATTTCAGTGAAAGAAAAAAAAGAAAACCTCACCTTTCTTCTGCTTGAAATTTCAAATCATTTCGTGTAAATCACAACTGGAATTCAATTATGCAAATGTTTTGTACATTACAAACCTTATAAAATATTTTTTTCATGCTTCGACATTTTATGCTTATCCAATAAAGCAGATAGAAAGCTGTAGTGAAATTTACCCTCATAATTAAAAGCAGGTAACTGTTTAGTTTACCTTAAGAATTTTATACCTAGAAACGGTTGCGGGTCAACTTCTTTCAATTTGCTGCTTCCAATGAATTCATGTTCATCATAAAAAAACGTATGTTTCTTCAAGCTTTGTGTAGAAAAAATAACGTGGTTTCGCTATCGGTGGAAACTCTTGACTCGTATCAATGGTTTTCGACAGCATGAGCAATTACAGTGATGCAAGTGTTTGAAATGATGTGCAAGGCAAATCAGGTGTTGGCTTCCAACGATCACCACCTTTTTTTTTTCGTTGGTAGAATTATTACATCTGAATTCATTTTTTGATTCAAACCTGCGAGGTGTTTGCAACCTGCAATGATGCCCCAATGTTCATCATGACGCCATATTAGCTGTGTGCATTATGTCACTGTGCCCATTCAGTGTTGTCGCCGTTGGTACTGTTTATGTGTCATAATAGAAAACGAAAACGCGGAGAAGTGTTGGCTTGTGTCATACAATGAGCGCATTCCAAGACACTACTGTAATATAAGAGTGATAAAAATAGAGCATTGTTTGTTGATTCCTAACAACACTTTGGTCTGGACAAGTTTTATTTCAACAACCATTTCTGCAGGATTTGCTTGTAAATAAAAAAAATGTGGCAAGCTAACAGTAACCTTGATATCCATGTCTGTCTTTTTTTAATTTGAACGTTTTGCTATTTCCTCTGTTTTGACCTATATAGTATCTGCATCCTGAAAGAAATCTACAGGGAATCAACTGCTACCATAGTGCTTCATAAAGGAAGCAGCAGAATACCAATCAAGAAGGGCGTAAGGCAGGGGGATAATCCCCCAATGCTATTTACCGCGTGCTTACATGAGGTGTTCGGAGGCCTGGAATGGGAACAGGTAGGGATAAAAGGTTATGGAGAGTACCTTAGTAACCTGCGCTTCACCGATGACATTCCGTTCCTAAGTAACTCAGGGGACGAATTGCATCTCATTATTACGGAGTTAGACAAGGAGAGCAGAAACGTGGATCTTAAAATTAATCTGCAGAAAACGAAAGTAATGTACAACAACCTCGGAAAAGAGCAGCGCTTCGAGATAGGTAATAGTGCACTTCAAGTTGTTAAAGACTATGTCTACTTAGGGCAGGTAATAACCACGTTGCCGAAACGCGAGATCGAAGTAACCAGAAGAACAAGAATGGGGTGGAGCACATTCGACAAGCACTCTCAAATTATGACAGGTAGATTGTCACTATCCCTCAAGAGGAAGGTATATAACAGCTGTATCTTGCCGGTACTTAGCTACGGAGCAGAAACCTGGAGACTTGCAAAGAGGGTTCAGCTTAAATTGAGGACAACGCAGCGAGCAATGGAAAGAAAAATGGTAGGTGTGACCTTAAGAGGCAAGAAGAGAGCAGAGTGGATTCGGAAACAAACGGGGGTTAAAGATATCATAGTTGAAATCAAGACGAGGAAATGGACATGGACAGGGCATGTATCACGTAGACAGGATAACCGCTGGTCATTAAGGGTAACTAATTGGATTCCCAGAGAAGACAAGCGGGTTAGGGGGAGACAGAAGGTTAGGTGGGCAGATGAGATTAAGAAGCTTGCGGGTATAAATTGGTAGCAGCAAGCACAGGACTGAGTTAACTGGCGAAACACGGGAGATGTCTTTGTCCTGCAGTGGGCGTAGTCAGGATGATGATGATGATGATGATGATGATGATGATGATGATGATGATGATGATGATCTGCATTAGAATACAGTATGCAATTCCTGCACATTCCGAAACAGGAGCTATCATATGCTCTCAACAACTCATCCCTAGTCAAAAGCAAACTACAGAATGAATTACTTCGAACAGGCGGTAGGCGCAACTTTAGTGCAAAGCCAGCGTGCAATTCACTGTGCGATGACGTGAATATAGTAGTAACATTGCCAGCGTGTTCCACCAGGATCTAAGTTTTATTATAGCTCGCTGATACATAGCAACAGAAACATTATGTTTATGCAACTGCTATAAAAGCGGAGTAAACACCGCACTCACTGCTCACATTAACGGGATATCACACCTGTACGGTATATGACTGGATATGAAATAGTTACTACATTGTAATAAAATAATAACCAGTAAGGTCGCCTAAAATCGCAATGAACGGACCTTATCTCGCAGGGTCTTTTTGAACAGCAGTTTCATGACCTGGCATGGCTCTTTCATACAATACTGGACTACTACGGAGAATGATCGAGCCCTTCGGGATCGACATAAATACTTACATTCTTCGGTTCAAGACTGTCTATGCCAATTATTCTTGCTCTCGCATTTAAACTGCCAAGCACCACCGCGGTGGTCTAGTGGCTAAGGCACTCGGCTGCTGACCCACAGGTCGCGGGATCGAATCCCGGCTTCGGCGGCTGCATTTCCGACGGAGGCAGAAATGTTGTAGGCCCGTGTGGTCAGACTTTGGGCGCACGTTAAGGAACCCCAGGGGGTCGAGATTTCTGGAGCCCTCCACTACGATGTCTCTCATAATCATATGGTGGTTTTGGGACGTTAAACCCCACAAATCAATCAATCAATCAATCAATCATTTCAACTGCCCAAGTCTCATTTCGCAATTCATGGGTAAACTGTCAATCTCTTCTACGGATACCCGTATACCGCTGCACATGGTATGCGAGTATGAGCCACACGTATTTGGAAGAAAGGGTTCGATGGCTTAGGGGACATGATTCTCACGTTAATCATGTGTTAACAAGGCATTCATAGTTTTCAAAATTACCATTTCATATCAATTTTGTTCTGCATCACGTTATGGGGGCGTTCACAAGGGTACCGAAAGCCATGCGACTATCTAGCTAGCAAGGACTAGACAATATTTTTACATTAGGGTATAACGAGAGTCTCTCAAGGATGCATTCGAGTATATGTGTCTCTGCAATTGAGATAGAGTTGCGCATTGTATTTGGATCTCAGTAGTGAAATTCTTTTACGGTATGTCAATTATATCTCAATATATTGGGGGATACATGTTGGTCGTTGCTTTGTGTGTGTGGGGGGGGGGGGGAGGCAGTGAGCTGACATGTTTCCAGGATGTAGGGCAGACTGCTTTACTAAGCCAAGGAACGGCACGCCGTCAATCACCGACACAGTAGGGGCGGCAGAAAGTTTCCCACACGCACTTAATGGACCACGAGGTATAGTGCCTGAAATCGTGATGGCGAAATTGCGGAGGCACTGTCGTCATGCACTGTTCGTGAAAATAGCCTTCTCTGAAGACAAGGTGCAGCACACTTGATGTTTTTTTTTTATCGGGTTGCAATCTGTTTGTCAACCACACTATCAAGTAGGTATGAAGTGAAGAAAGCATTAAAAATTATTTCAAGAGAAAACGCATTCGCTATAGGTAGCGATGCTGGCAGTGACGCTGGTCACATTGTGCCTAACGCTATATTTGTTTACGATTGCACCGTGCTCGACATGCAGTTGTTTAGTGACCTGTGTACGAAATGTTTTTGTGTATTTCGTTGCCTCGTGAGCACACATTTTGTCTTCTGTACACTGTGCTGTGTCATCAGCTTGGGGCAATGATGCAGCGCTGTCAGTCATTCCTCTCAAGGACAAACGCAAACACGGCGACGACAACCACGCGCACGAATAAAATATCCCTGCTATAGTGAAGCACATTCCCGGCTCTACTCACGAGGCACGGTGTAGAGGGCATCAAGGCGGAGAGTATAGCTGCGCTCTGGCATGTACAAACAAACGTCATCAACTAGCAATGAAACAAAAGAACGTTTAACATTGCAACATGTATTATTGTTTTCACTGTGGCAATATTCCGCTCGAGTTTTTTCTTCCATGTGGACTACTGAGGACGAGAGTACCCGTTCCGCTGCCAAGGGAGATCGCCGAACTTACTTTGCGAAATGCTCCGTTTACCTTCGTTAGCGTAAAGGTGGCCGTGTGACACGGTCCGCATCGTCGTCGCAAGAACGACACAGTTGAACGGTGTTCGCGGGTGCCCGTGTGACAAGGGTATTAGCACCGAACCTGTATGCAAACACGAAGAAACACGAAGAAGGCTTAGTGGGATGGTTGGTAGTGCGTCATGAAAGGCTGGAGCACTCGTGTAGACGGGGACGACGTAAGTATACATAAGACGTATTACTTAACTGCAACTGTTACTTGCATTTTCCGTTGTAGCAGCATTATATGGACCCAACAAGGCACTGAAATACGTCAATAACCAAGGCTTCAATGACGTTTTTGCGCCACAGAAGTCACGTCGAAAAAATACGCATGATCAGAAGACGAAGAAAAAAAGATTCGTCATAGGGAGACGTACCCATGACCTCTTATTCCGCAGCAACAGATGCCGGGTAACGTATCCACTGCGCCGAGGTAAGATTCATTGAACCGCTAAAAAAGTACGCCTTTTATATCTAGCACAGTCCTCTCAGTGTTCTTCGCAAAGATCAGTAATGTATCACACCTTCACATCCGTGATCAGTTCTTTGAACGCTTCATTTCTAAGCGTCCGTCTCATTCGACGCATTTCTAATAGCAGTATTTTTGTTTTTGTCAACACCAAATGCACCTCCAAGTGACGATCCTACCCCAAGCGTTGGTACCACTCATAGCATTAGTCCTTACAAAAAAAAAAGGCAGATCCCACGTAGAGTGGGAGTCGATGATATGCGAAACACGAATGAGGGAGGGTGATAGGTCACATTAAAATTAGCGCAACGTTAAGCGGCGGAGGTAAATTATGCCGTACATGGCTTCCATGTCATATTCATCCTGTTTGGACGTCTCATTTGCCTTTGTCATCTATTAACGTCACCTGATACCGACTTTGGTATATATGAAGCTAGCGAAACGGCCGCGAGCATGCTATAAGCGTAGCATGTAGTCATGGTTTACATCAAACGCATGTTATCATTATCATGTTTGGACGTGTAATTTACTTTCGTCGTCTATTCACACTTCCCGTGATACCACATATGGTACATGTGGATCTAGCACAACGGCGGCGAGTGTGTCATAAAGGGCCCAATATACTCCGACGCTACGATGACACACGCGCAGGTTGGGAGGTTGGGCAGAGCGACGCCACGATGGCAAAAACGCGTGCACTCTATAGACGAGAGCACGCCTATCTCGCACCCAGGACTGTAGCTGGGATCTGCTTTTTTTTTCGCTTCAAACGACCACGAAGGGGAAAATCTTGAGAGAGATAGCAATGCCCCTTCCAAGGTTTCCATGGCGTTTGAATAGGCATCGTGGGCACCCCACGGAAGTCTTTTCTTCACTTCTCTTTAGTGTATCCCCACCCCCGACACTCAACGCCGTGGACTACGGCGGGGGCTGCACTACATAGCCGGAGAGGGACAATGGCACAGCAAGGAGCATTGCTGAAAATGAGGTGCAGGTATGCAAGTTTAGTGGTTGTCACTGCGAGTGCCTCCAGTGTGACTACAGTATTGGTTAACGAATGGCTGAACACGACAACGCATGGACGGAGTGTTCCAGAGACCACTGGCAAACTGTTTGTGTCGTTGTAGTGTAAAA